TAGCCTTCCATCTCGATTCAATTAAATAAACTATGCTTAAAAATATTTCATGTTTATTTTTACTGAGGGCTTAGTTCGTCTGGATTGTTATTTTATTCAAACCGCGAGACATAATATCATAAAACTTTACAACTTGCACTACTGTTAGCAGTGGCGTGCATAAAAATTTCAGACAGGGTATGATGCACTGAAACAACTTACTTATTAGACTTGGATAAGTGCCCTTTGAAGAGCCTGAAAGCTGATAATGTTCTTTTATTTGGCGAAAATTAATTAAGTTTTAAAATAAAGTTTCAAGTTCTATTTATTATCTACGTATTAAAAGCTGATTAATTTATTAATGGATTCTAAATTGACATTCTTGCACGGACCACTGAAGACTCACTGAAGAAGTGTAACTACGAGTGTGTGTACTACGAGTACTAGCGCCGCAGTGGTAAAAAGTTAGCACTAGCACAAGAACTAACCCCCACCGCCGAGTATCAAATATCTAGGCAGGATTATAATAATTTCGAATATTTTACTTTTCACTGTTGCTAAATGATGCATGCGTTATCTATGTGGAAGAGTGTCAGCAACGGACAACCGAGGTTCGGTATCGACCGCAACCCCGTTATTACTTGATTGTATATTTAATTAATCAGTTGCTAAGGGCGTTGAGAACGCGGGGGGAGCCTTGTGAACTCCTTGTTCGTTTCGCCACGCTCGTAAGCGAGAGCGAGCCGTTTCTTAAAATCTCTGTATATATATTTTCAGTATATATTCGCGTAGCGTCAGGAGTCGGCAATTACTGTGCAGGTTAACGTTGCGTCGATACCACTGGACACCGGTTCAGATGAACTTGTTTGGACCACCTGGATGGAGCTTTTTAGGCGATTGGGGTTGGAGTTGGTGAACGATATGAATGTGTAGTTCATCATAGGCTGGCTCATCATATCCCAAAATTGGAAATGGTGATTCCAATCTAAACTTTGTGGTTCAGAAAGCTCCAAATGTTAATCGAGAAGCTCCTGCGAAATCCTCATCTTTTCCTTTCCTGTACACCGGGAAACTGATGAGAAAGAAAAGACATTTTTGTGAATAAAGAGCTCGCCTTTTACTCAATTCACTCGAAAAAGCTATTTATTGCTTGTTATTTCAGCTAATAAAAAATTAACGAATTTAGAATACTGATTAACTTATTCTATTCTTTATCTTTTTTTAATTCGAAACTGGCCAGCGCTTGACTGCTATCCCACCTGATGGTAAGTGGCGATGAAATTTTGACGGTAAGTGCGCTAGCTCAGTAAAAATCTATTCACTCTTGCCTTGAAGATACTATATCTGTACCACTCGGTTGCCTTAAAAATAATCCACAAGTTTTAAATTACAGTTACATAGCGTTAAGTATCTGAAAGAAAAAACTTACATAACGCACAATGAAAGTGTATCATTTTATTTTTAGGAAGTCAGGGATGCCTTTTGATTTGATTAATTCTTCGAATGTTTGCCTGCTATGTACATATTCGACTTTTACTTTTCCGTATTTCATTGCATTAAATGTCTCCGTGTTGAAGTTCGACTCTCTCACGGGACAAGTATTTTTGTGACCCACAGATAATCGGTATCGGATCTGGGTATTTTGTCCACACGAAACTTATGTTTGATTAGAAGTTTCTTATAATGTTAGGTTGTACTTAAGAAAAGGCAATGTTTATAAAAAACAAAAACAGCACAATGGTTCACCGTCTGTCGATATCGTATCAAAAAATTATTTTAAATGAGCGTAACTTTGTCATCGGTTCTATGCGGCAAAATAAAGTGTCCTTGTGTGTAATATTTATACTATCACATCTTCACAACATATTATTAAACAAAATCGTCCCACTGCCTGTCTGTCCCTATGTATGCTTAGGTCTTTAAAACTACGCAACGGATCTTGATGCGTTTTTTTTTTTTACTAGATAGAGTGATTCAAGAGGAAGGTTTATATGTGTAATACATTGCATCCTTGCGAAGCCGGGGTGAGTCGCTAGTAATCAATAAAGTGTAATTATATTTGTATCTATACTCGCTCGCCACAATTTAGGGAATTGATGACTCCGTGGCGCTGTCGCCAAGGTATTAGCTTCGGGTCGGGGGTCGTGGGTTCGATCCCCAGACGGAACAATTATTTGAGCGACCCACAGATTCTTGCTTCTGGGTGTTTGTCTATGTGGAACTTATGTTTGTAAAACGTCCTTACAACAAAGGAAAATGTTATCCTAACGTAAGGGCAACAAAAAAAAAAGAAAAAAGTTAATTGAAAAGCAATACACATCAGTATAATGTTTTACTCATACAAAAAGTTGCAACCAATTGCAGTGAGTTTTTTAGCGTTTTAGTTAATTTAGCGAATTCAGATAATAACTAATACATATTACATTGCAAAACAAGTTTCATTTATAAAAGCAATATTACCCGCTAGAGCTCTTTGATAACTCGTACACCTCACCAGATTTAAATTAAGATGAATAAATAGAAAAATAACAATATTTCCAAATGAGCACTATCGACTCTCGTAATGTCTGTCGTTCCAGTCCTTGTGCAATTCGGCGTCAGTAAATATCTCCAATGTCACGTCTTTCTGCTGCACAGAATTAGGTAATATCTTTTAATACAAAAAATCCATGGCTCTCGAAAAAACCGAACGAAACATTATCTGCTGTGGTAAAATTAACCAGCTATCATAACAAATTCATCTATAAAAACGGCAAAAAAAAATCATGTCTGTTATATGGGATTCCCACTTAACTTTTTTTATTACTTGTCATTATAGCGGCAACAGAAATACATCATCTGTGAAAATTTCAACCGTCTAACTATCACTTAATGCAGAATGTAAGGTATTTTCGAGTGCAAAGGTGCTTACTACCACAACAATGACCGTTTTTTTATGACCGTATTGTAAAGTGAATATTATAGAAATAATTACTGTAGAGTTAGCGCTAAAATAAAAATAAAAATAAATTTAAAAATATAACTTATTACTTTGCAATAAAGAAAGCTGGTAATGGTTGGCGTTAACTTGGATATGGCGTTACTTTATCCGTAAAGGAATAAACATTCGTGCGCGTATTAAATGTGTTTAGTTTTAGTAATCAAATGTATTTTCAGTTACCTTAACTAATACAATTGGATTGGATTAAAATTAAGAAATTATAAATTAGTCATAAACTTTAAGCAAATAAAGTATTAATGTAGCCTTTCGAATTCCTTTGTATCATTTGAAATATATTCCACTGAATTAGTAGTATAGTTATGTCTTTCTGCATGATAAGGTAGTATATGCATTTTTTTATGTTTATTCGTTCGAATCTCCTCTACTTTCTCTATTAGGCACAGAAGCACCCGTGTCAAAGAAAGCATTTATAAATTGCCATAGGTATATTGATAGATTGCATTTAAATTAAGATGAATAAATAGAAAAATAACAATATTTCCAAATGAGCACTATCACTTAATGCAGAATGTAAGGTATTTTCGAGTGCAAAGGTGCTTACTACCACAACAATGAACGAACGTATACAAATTTTATAGTTAGTGAAAGCATTTTATAAATTGCCATATAATTGCATTTTTCGTTTAATCCACAATATATAACCATTAGTACAATTTTTACAGTAAATTATTTATCATTGCCCATGCCGTATATGCTTAGCGATATATTAAATGCAAAACCGCTTACATTGTACAAGTTAGTATGATATATAACTAAAGTATTGTATTTATAAATAAATAAGTAAATTACTGAGTTATTTACATGTTTTCACCAAGTGACATATTTTCCCGAAACATTTAGAAGTTGTTAAAAAAAAAACTGTTGGATGTTTCAAGCACAAACTATTTCAAAAACACGAGTCGGGTCCTCACAACAGTTTTTTTGTCAACTTCACAATCATTAATGTGATATTAGTTGAGTTAGAGTCTTAACCATTCGCCACGATCTCCAATCTGGTCACATTCACCCGAATGTTTAGTCCTTTTTGACGACAGCCTGGAAAGTTTTCGCAATTTTAATTTATTTTAATGACCTTCTTTATTACCCCTTTATGTTAATAAGGCTCTAAAACCCCAACCTAGTGGTTGTCAATAGCTGTTCCAGTCACGGGTACGCCAGTCTGGAAGGAGCATTAAATTCCCTTAGATATTTCATGAATTTCTCATATTTCCACGCCCGAAATCTCTCAGAGATGTAAAAGAAAAGCACCCTAGCAAAGTCAAAGACAATTTTAGTAAATTTAAAAAAAGAAAAAGATGAAATCAAACAGTGAAATAATACCATGAAGAAGTACCATGTTAAAGGTCTAATTATTGTATATTGCACCCGTGTGTGTTTTTACGTTTAAGCATTTAAAATTTTTATATATCACCAATAGTTTTAACATAAGTATTGAAGTCAATCCTATGATACAATATTAACACTAGGGTATTATTTAGTATCATGCTAACTTGGTATTTGAATTTTAGTTGTATACACCGATGAATGAGTGACATTTATCATTCATTCTGAATCATTATTACCTCCGTAGTTGCCTAGTATTCATTCAAACTTGTTTTTCTAATCGAATATATAATAAAATATTCATAGTTATTAATATAAAGTTCTAAGTAAATTATGTAATGTGCGTATTGACAGTTTTTTTTTAATTATTGCTTGTAAAGAAACATTTAAAAAGTGATCATTACAAATGTTTAATTAGTAAAAATATTTAAATATGATTAAGATTGAAATTTTTCATATAAATATGGAAAGAAAAGAATGCGCAAGAAGAAGGTTATAAGAAGGACGTTTAAAAATAAGACAAGACATACTTGCGAAATTTTATTCATGCACATGCGTTCATCCATGCATTGAACTGATGAAAAATAAAAATTCAACGCTAACGACTGCTTACGGTATTAATTAAAATAAATAAATTAGCACATTTTATAATCCATCAGTTCCGATAAATGAAGTATCATGCATACATCGTTGATTAGTCGGTCACCTGAGTGGAGAACAACTTTTTGAGTCCAACGATAGTCGCCAGTAAAAGGGCGATCTTGGAAAGGAGCAGTGCCTTCCCAACCATCAAGTATAGGCCCTTAAAAGTCAGGGCTCCGAGCAGACCAAATTTCATTGCGGCAGCGGCCAGGATTGGCGCCATATTCTTATTCTTTTGCCGCCCGGTCTCGATTGCTTTTGGCGCCTTCATGGAGACACCTGAAAAGAGACGTTTCAAATACCTTTTGGTGTTTCAGGTGTCCATGGGCGGCGGTGGCCACTTACCAACAGGTGAACCTCCTGCTTTTATATTTAAATATTTTTATAAATAAAGCGCCCCTAAATCAGATCTCTCCTTCTCTTATGAACGTCGGTGCCAATTGCATGGATATTTAATGTTGTTTTTTATACTATTGCAATGTCTTACGTAAAAAGCAATGATAAATATACCTCATGATTATTCCGATATTTTTTTATTTCGTTTAAAATGTGGTGCAATGCTAAGCTACCGACTTCGGCACCGAATTGTACCGGATATGGATGTTTGTTTCCAAGGAGGGTTGAAGTCAGGTAGGCGGCCGGTCGTAAAAAACCTAGCCAAAACTTCTAACAACCTGATATACATTTAGTACTGACTGTTTATGGGATAGGGGCAGAAAGATTATACTGATGTACAACGCATCTATACAGATAAATAAAATTGGAGTGTGTGTTTGTAATATTAAAATAACTGCTTTTTCCTAAATGCATATATGGATGTATACACGGTACATATACCAAAATAACATTTTTTACAATTTTTGTCTGTCTTTTTGTTCAGGCTAATTTCTAAAACAGCTGGCCCGATTTATAGGAGTAACTTAGGCTAGTTTATTTTAGTTTATTTTTTTATTTAAAATCCACGCGGACGAAGTCGCGGGCACAGCTAGTCTTAAATATAATTTTCTTCTTTTATCAATAGCGTTTAATTCCTCTCCATTAGTTTCCTTACGGCAATGTCTTTAATTTCTTTATTAGTTTCAAAAGATACTAGTCAAGACATTGGTTTGTTTTCTCCCCGAGTGTGGCTCCCATATAATCTCAATTAAGTAGTCAGAGAATAAGAAAAATGTTATTGTTATTTTTTTCATCATAGAATAAGACGTGTGCACTTAAGGTAATGCTATACACGAGCATAGAAATATCATCATCATTTCGGCGGGGTTGAATACCGCTTCTTAACATGCGGAACGGAAGTTTTCGCGATTAGAAAGGTTAGACAGCTAACAGACATCGACACTGCCAGACTTGTTTACTTAAGTTATTTTCACAGTATCTTATCGTACGGCATTTTGTTGTGGCATCTGATATAAATTCTATATTTATTCTTCAAAAAAGAGCTGTCCGAGCAATCTATAACATCGGAGCCCGGGATACACTCAGAGATATTTTTAAAGAGATTAATATACTCACTGTTGCGTCCCAATATATTTATTGTAATATCTTGTACGTTAGACATAGTCTTAATTGTTATCTAAAGAATAGTGACACACATAATTTAAATACTAGAAATAAGGACAAATTAATTACACCATTGTTTCGTCTACAAAAAGTAAATAGATCGTTCATGGGGCAAAGTGTGCGCATGTATAATAAAATCCCACAGTCGGTATTTAGTCTGCCACTAGATGAATTTAAACGCGCCGACCGCCTCAAAATGCACCTACGTCAGGTAGGCCCCGACCTATCGGATAGCCAGTATGGTTTTAGACAGGCTCGGTCTACTGTTGACGCAATCCTTTGCGTTCGAGACCAGTCGCAGAGGGCTGTTACCCAGGGTGGTGTGGCATTGGCGGTCAGCTTAGATATCGTCAATGCCTTCAATTCATTACCCTGGCGTACAATCAGGGAAGCACTGACCTACCATCAGGTACCCCCCTATCTGCAGCGTATTATCGGGGCGTACTTGCACGGCAGGTGCATTCAGTACGTGGGTCGGGACGCATTAGTCCATTATAGGGAGGTGAACTGCGGGGTTCCACAGAGGTCCGTCTTAGGGCCATTACTTTGGAACCTCGCATATGACGCCGTCCTACGAACTGTTCTCCCCGTCGGTGTAAGTGTTATCTGCTATGCAGACGACACTCTAGTATTGGCCGACGGGGGTAGCTTCGAGAGCACCAGTTGGCTCGCTGAGCTTGGGGTGGCTTGCGTTGTGGGCAAAATCCATGAGCTGGGTCTTCGGATAGCGCCTCATAAGACCGAGGCGCTTTGGTTTCACAAACTTCCTAGAAGAAGGGATCCACCCAGCTGGTCGGTTCGCGTGGGTGACGTGCAGATTCCGGTGAGACCAGTGATGAAATATCTTGGTCTCACTCTGGATGGTCGCTGGGGCTTCGAGGAGCACTTCAACCGCTTGGCCCCCCGTATAGAGAAGGTAGTAGGTGCCTTGCACAAATTACTGCCTAATCTCGGGGGCCCCAGGGAAGGAGTTCACCGCCTCTATGCGGGGGTCGTGCGATCGATGGCCCTCTACGGTGTGCCCGTATGGTTCCACCGGCTAACGAGCGTCCGCCGCTGCAGAGCTAAACTTTATAGCCTGCAGCGGAGAATGGCCATCAGAATCGCACGAGGTTATCGAACGATATCCTTTGAGGCGGCCACTATCCTAGCACGGTTTCCACCACTGGACATCCTGGCAGAGATAGATGCGCGAGTTTATACTCGCCTTCGGCTATCCCAGGATGATACCGAGCCCCTGGATGCGAGAGAGGTGCGGGAGCAGGAGCGTACAAGGGGGTTTGAGATTTGGCTCGAGCGCTTGGGAGAACCTCAGAACTCGCGCCAACGGATTGTCACTGCGTTCCTGCCAAGCTTCGAAGCCTGGCTTAGTGCGAGGGGATTTGCGCACGTTACCTTTCGTCTGACGCAAGTACTCACCGGGCACGGATGCTTTGGTGAGTACTTAAATAGAATTGGACGCGAACCGACAACGCAATGCCACCACTGTGGTGGGGACCGGCACTCCGCGCAGCACACGCTTGCTGAGTGCCCCGCGTGGGAGTAAGAGCGTCGGATCTTGGTCCAAAAGATCGGGCAGGACCTATCTCCACATGTTGCAGTGGCGGCTGTCTCCTTCTGCGAAACTGTTATGATCCAGAAGAAGTAATCGATTTAAAAAGAGCAACTGTTTGAGTTTCTTGCCGGTTTCTTCTCAACAGAAACTGCTTTCCGAACCAGTGGTAACTTACGAACGTATTAATCGTTATGAAAAATTTTTGATATTTCATAAGATTTTCTTTTGATTCTACCCCATTGGTTATAGGTTCTACGAGGTATAAGATATTTAGATAATTATTATCTTATCCTTTAAACGAGCAATTCTTGTATATATATATATATATATATATAATTGGAATCTCGGAAAGGGCTCCAGCGATTTTCATGAAATTTAGTATGTGCGTAGATTCGGGGGCGAAAAATCGATTTAGCTAGGTTTCATTTTTAGAAAATGTCCTTTTTCGCCGCAAAAAAAATGTTATAATAGCTCGGTCGGTAATCGGGCGGCCCCAAAACAGACCACCGTGGTTCGTATCACGATCATTTACACACTTATTTTTTTTACTTTTTTTTCGATTCCAGATCATTGCTTTTGTTTTTTTATTTTTTGTCGATTTGTTATTTTGTTTTTTTTTCCTTTCTTTAAATTTCTTTCTTTTGTGAAAAACACCAGTTCATATTTACTTATTATTACGTCGGTATGATCGAAAAATATTATGCATATTCCATTACTCAGTAGTTTATATCTAGATGTAATTTCCAAAAAACACGATTTACCAATAAAAAAACAAACCGAGCAAAGCTCGGTCCCCCAGATACTTATCATGAAGCAATGATTTGTTTACTCAGTTTTTCCAATTCTTAAACGATCAATGAATATTGATCGTTTTAGAATTGTTGTTACACAATGATCACAGATAAAAGTATCTTCGATGATTCCTCAGACTGAATTTAATTTTTTCTTAACTTAATCAAAATTTATAGCTCGTTATTAATGAGTAATTGCTATGGAATAACCAGACTTTTTATGTAACTCTCGACTAGTTTAGGCGTATCGTTATAATTAAACTTGATTTATGACGAGAAAAATCTGCGCTATAAAATACTGTACCAATTAAGTACTGGTATTTTATCTCACGTTTCTATTTCGGTTTAAAGAAGTTTATTTTTTATAAAAACTATAACAGTTTGTTTAAAATAAGATTTGAATTGAAATTTCATTATCAAATATTGTGTTTACACTTCTGGCACATGTATTTTTAAACAACATTAAAATTATTATTAGGTAGTATTAAATTTTTTTTTACAATATAATAAATAGTGGAATAAATTTTTTTTCTTCATATTACATTATACATTACAAAAATATTATTTTGAAAAATTAATTATAGCATGCTTACATATTTTCTCAATTTACTTTTGAATATATTTATACTATTACATTCTTTAAGATAATTGGGTAATTTGTTATACAATTGTGCTCCCTCAAATAAGATAGTTTTCTTTCCATAGTTTGTACGCGGGAAAGATAATTGGAGTTTATTTTTATTTCTCAAATTGTGAGTTGTTTCTTTTTTCTGTAGTGCTATGTTTGTTTGGATCATGTTATCACTAATTTTTTTAACTAGAATGCAAGTGCAGTATATATATATAGTTGTGTGAGATTAAGTAATTTTGTTTTTTCGTATATTAATTTTGTAGGTGATGGTGTAGTACTTTAATGATTTTATTTTGAGTTACTTGTAGTGGTTTTAAGTTAGTGGCAGCTGCTGATCCCCATATTTCAATCATATATTCTAAGTGAGACTTTACTAGTGAGTTATAGATGATAGCGCGTACTTTATTTGGTAGATAATTTGCTATTTTGCGTAACGCTCCCAATACTGTTCCGAGTTTAGTTTGCACACTGTTATTATTATATTTAAGCTGTTATTATATTTAAGCCTGCCTACCACTTTTCTGTAATAACTGAATTGTTAATCGAAATTCTTATTTATCAGCTGTTCGTAAATTTTGAACCAAATATTTTTTATCATTAATGCCAAAGGAAATCGAAAGTGAAAATTGAAAAAAGATTTTTTTTTTCTTTTACGCTGTAGCACGAATTGGCAGGTCCGTCTGTGGAAGTACCGAAACATCACAGAAGTGAGTTAGGTAGCTGGGGACCATTATACTAAAAGGTAGCAACGCATCTGCCACCATATGGGTGTTGCAAATGCACATGGGCGGCGGTTATCACTTGCCATCAGGTAAACCGCCAATTTGCTTACCACCTTCTCACATTAAAAAAAAACCTTACCAACGCCGAAGCTTCCGTCCTTCTCTTGTCTTCCAGAAATGACAACGTCTGCGTTGTTCAGGAGCCTGTACCTCAGCGACCTTGTGGTGGCGAAGTTCCACAATTTGTCAGTGATGATTTGCTGTGCTTGTTCTTCGAGGGACGTGCCGGCTCTGGCTAGTGATTCCGACTTTATCGGCGTTTTCGCTGCCGCCCCATTACTAAAATGCGGATTAAGTTTTGTATTAACTCGAATCTAAGCCCAACTAAGCAAATGGCTCAGCAGTTCTGAATTTGAATTAGGATGACTTGGAGAAGTTATGTCGAAGAAGACTGTGACTTGTATTAAACCGGGTGTTGTCCCGGTCGTCGACTTGTTCGTCTTGTAAACCAGAATTGGCTAATTCTTAAATAAATTATAATTGATATCAAATTTATGCTTAACGTATCCCGATCTTCCACTTAGCAAAATATTTATGTATGTATTAACATTTATTTTTACTTAGAACATATAATTTGAATTACTCGAATTACTTTTTATTTTTTAATTAAGCTATTTTCATGTCATTTATTTTGAATGTTCTTGCTGTGTGTTGCTTGTCAAAACAAAGTCTATGTCTATGTCTAATTACAACACAAGTGTAGTAATTTTTTTTCTGTTATTAAATAACCTCGCATACAAGACAATTAGAGAAGTAAATACTTATTGCTGTCATTGATAGTGTGAAAACAAAACCTCATTAAACCGGACGTCTACATGTATATTATGTATTTGATGGTCGGCCATGTGTTGCCAAAAAATGTTGTTAAAGATGTACAATTACATTAAATTAACTAACTCTAAAACAATAATAAGCACACAACATGCCATTCATGATGGTACCGAATATACTGTAGGTAAAACAAATCCTTATACTTATTATTTAATATTATATAGGCGAAAGTTTGTATGTATGGATGGATGTTTGTTACTCTTTCACGCAAAAACTACTGAATAGATTTTAATGACATTTGTACATCAGTATAACACATAGGCTATAATTTATAAAGATATTATGTGAATTGTCCATAATACAGGTAATAATATATAACGATGAAGAAGTGTCACTAAGTAGGAAAAATTCAGTTATCTGCGAGGTATTCTGGTGTATAATAAAAACTCATTGTTAATTTACTTTGGCCGCGCGGGCAAAGCCGTGGTTAACAGCTAGTTATTTATAATTGCTGCTATTCATCATCATCAGTTAAATATGAGAACTGTAAGAACACTGAAATGAATTGATGAATAGAATTTTTGTTTTAAAGTGCAAGTCGGACTCGTGCATGAAGTGTTCCGTACCATTATCTATAAAACGATAAAAAATCATGTCTGGATTATGGGAGCCCCACTTTAATATTTTTTATTCTGTTTTTTTTTTAAGTTTTTGTTGTTATAGCGGCAACAGAAATACATCATCTGTGAAAATGTCAACTGTCTAACTATCACGGTTCATGAGATACAGTCTGGCGACAGACGGACAGACATACAGACAGAGGGTCCCTTTTTACCCTTTGGTACGCCTAAAAAAATCGAAGCAACATATAATCACCTCTCATCTACAATCATCATATCCTCCGTCAGTTGAAACGAAGCCGTCTTCAAGATTTTGTCCATATAGCCCACCAGTTCCACGGCGAGGCATGAAGATGTCTCGCGCGCTACGCATTTGTTGTTCAGCCCGTGTTTCACCGCTTCTTCGGTTTTTGCCTAGAACAAAAGAGATAGATACATTTTAAGGTAAAAATTTTTTGTACGACGACAGTAGAGCAAGTTGATTGACGACAGTATGTAACATTATGTTGAATATTGGCAATTGAACAGTAAAATAATTGTTGTTATTTCAGAAATTTACCAGCATTCACGACAAATAACAGGTTACCTGTTATCAGGCAACTCCTAACGGCCAGCTGGTACATCTGTAACGTAGCGATTGCGAAAAAAATCTTAGACATCAAGCTACTGCTACCTAACTTTCCCGATTAACCGCCTAATTTACGATGGTAGTCTATGAGACTACAGAATTTACCCTTCTGCACAAAAGATTTACCCCTTCCGCTGCTGTATGAAAGACTTTCTCGTTTGATTAGTTAAATCCGTTTCAATCAAATTGACATCGTCCTTCTTCTACTCCGATTACAATGTTTACTTTGAGCGTTTTCTTCCCGCTAACAACAAATACATCTTTTCACCATTAGATTAGGTTCATGCCAAATTATTATAATATATATGATACTATGTACACTAACAATATGACTACTAATTTATTTTAATAAATTGGTTATGCTATTAGTTATGTTTACGATCGCCGAAAATCTCAACGTCTTTTATTTACATTGTTTTTCCCAGGTCTTTAAAAAATATTAAAATTCTAATAGCAATGGCGACATCTTTCATTCGAATTATCGTCCTACAACGATATTCGAAATTGTTTGTATGCTGTAAAGGATAAAACAATGGATGCGACAAGCATTGATTGAAATGTGAAAAATAAAACAATGTTGATAAAAGATGTTGAGATTTTGGAGTGGCAATCCGCCGTTTAGCTTATTGGTTAAAGGTTAAAGCGTTTGGGCGCGAGTCCCCAAGAATTGGGATTGATTTCCACAGTGGCGAAAAAATTTTAAATGTTTAATAAGTGCAGAGATTACTATTGTAAAAAAATACATTACATACATTTATTTGAAATTCATCTCATTCGTTTTTAGATATGAAAACTATTCATTTAAACTACTCGTGATTTACGGTGTAACCTTTGAAGAAAATGTGACTTGAGTATAGGAATATTTAAGAAAACAGTAATCAAAATCTCAATTATTCACGCTTGTCTCCATTTAAACGTTGTTTCCAGATTACCAAACACAGCATTTTAGATAGAATGATGTAAACTCATGAAACAAATAGTTCCCGACTGAACGTCTTTGGTTCTAAATCTTGTTTTAGTTTCTTTAGAACGTAATATTGGAGCAGTTAATTCGATACCAAATCGTTTTTATTCGTAAAATTAGGCATTGAAAGATTTCTTTCAGCTATTTCCCAACACTCGATAGGGCCGGAAAGGAAAAGCTTTAACATCATGCGAAGCCAATCACTCTGGGAAACGAGAGCGTCGCACCAGTTTTCCACTTTCCATGTATAATTGATACCTCGTGTAGGCTGTCGGTGTGACCCAAATCATAAGCGTTAGAGAGTGTAAAGAAACACTTGTATAGACAAGAAAACTAAACTCAGATCAGTTGTCTTCTCTGTTTCACAATCAAGTATCAATAATTGTTTCTTAATTGATGTCACTTTCACCTGTTACTATTGTTAGAAAACTTTACATCTCGATAGCGAAACATTCTGTTAATCCCGGTGACTGTACGAGCCCTTCCTTAAATATAATGCCTGATTTTAATTAAATCAGCCGTCGTTAAGCCACTAACGTCAAAATGGAATTTAAAAGGATCTGTTTAAAAAACAATCAAAGCAAATGGCAATATTAATGTTATCAGTAGAATTGAGAATTTTTAATTAATTGTAATTTTAATTTTTGTAATATTATTAAATTTCTTATAAATTTATTTGCAATTTAGATAAAAATATTCAGCTTTAGTTTAATAGGCGAGATAAAGCAGACCATTTACCGCTCTTCACTCGCGTACCAAACTTTCTTTGGGGCGGAGGGTTTTGCTGCACACATGCGTAATAATCGAAAACGAAATTGGGTCAGTGAAATTGTCACATCCATTGTTAAGAGTTGTTTTTATTAAGTATTTATTACTTATTACATTATCGCAGACAAAGGGACCCATTTATCAATGTGGGAATTTTGATATTTTCACGTTGAATTTACAATATAAGCTTATTATTCTTATATACACGGCACGGGTGCAATGTATTATACATATACACCTTCCTCTTGAATCACTCTATCTAGTAAAAAACCGCATCAAGATCCGTTGCGTAGTTTTAAAGATATTTTTGAGATACTAGCATAAAAGAGAATGAACGTATTACAAAGAAAATTTGATTAATACTGAAATAATCATTTTAACATTTCCTTTTTACTCTAATAAAGAATATCATAGCCCCGATACCAAGCAGAGTGGCCAGAATTAATTAATGCCAGTGTAAGGGCCACGCAGCAGCCTCGGCTGTTGCACGAATGGGCAGGCCCGTCCGGGTAAGTACCACGACCTCACAGGAGACCATCGTAAAGTGAAAGTATGCCAAATACTTTTGCATTTCGTCAGGTGAGTGAGGTAGCCGGAGCCCAATTTTCAAAAGGTTGTCAACGCATCTGTAACCCTCGGGTGTAGCAGACGTCCATGGGCGGCGGTTGTCACTTAACATCAGGCGAACCGTCTGCTCGTTTGACAACTTTTAGCATAGAAAAAAAGTTTTTGTAGAATCAATTACACCGATGTTTCCACATGAAAGATGCATAATGCGGTGTATGATATTTAGATAATGGTATAGAATCATCTGCAGTTACCTAATTACACAATTACAACCGATGTTTTAACATAAAAATCTCTTTTAAAGAGTACTGGTCTGAATTCTCTTTATCGATGCTTAGCTTATTTAAAGAAATGGAAACTTATTTGAGTTATCATTAAAGGTGTATATTTAAAGAAACGTTAAAATTGTAATTAGTTTAATAATACATATTTATCAATTGGGGCGGGAATCCCACCAGATCGCAGTAGTTGCGAAGAACGAGTTATCAGGACTTATGCATGAAATCGCTTTGTAATGTTTAAAAGAAATAAAACCGTTTAAAAACTTTTAAGTTAAACGGTTTTATTTTCTGTTTTTTTTTTTTTGTGCACTGAAAACTACAATATTGTATTGTCATCTAAATTAAATGTGTGTACCAAATTTCAGATCAATCTGACAACAGGGAAGGTGCTTAAATTTCAATTTCTAATTTTGACCCAAATAAACAAATAAATTCCGTACGTGTCGAGCTAAATAAAACCGTTTAAAAAAATACTTCTGGCGTCATATCTATTGAGATTTGTATCTCAACTAGCGTTGTAATTATTCTTATGAAATAAGATACAAGAGCCCGTATTAGTGGTGTATTTGGTTAGTTATCTTTTTAACATAACAAATTCAGAATTTCTCTACTGTACCTGGTCATTTAAGGTCAATGTCAAGGTTGCAGACAAAAGGTCAAATTAACTTGGTACAACTTTAATAGGCTTAAATACTGCAATGACCCGTATTGATTAATAGTTATTTAGTCATCAATGTTCTTGAGTGTCAATATTTTGTGCTTATTAATTCTGAAAATAAAATCATAAACATTGACCTCTCCGTATATTAATTAATTCAACATCGTTCAAATAATTAACGTGCGTTAGTGCAGTTTAACCAGAAAACCATTATTCAACAGCCAGCGGTAAATCTTGACGACTCAACGATTTCTTGCGGCAAGGAATGCGTGCAAGTACGCGTCGATCTCCTTGGTTAGTAGTTTCGCGTTTTTGTTAACACTTTCTTAGACTAGTGTCAATATTTCAACGAGATTTTCACTGTCTGGCATTCCTGACGGGATAACGGTGACCAACTTATCACATGTCACGTCAGTGAGAAGTGGGTAGCATGATCATACCGTACTATTATTATACTACTACTCAGCATATGCACAATTCTTAAAAGTCTTAAAAGTCAGACTTAAAAGTCGAGTGTAGTCGAAAAAATTTTTCTCGTCTTTTAAGACAAAAGAGTACAGGTATTTTATATCGAAAAAACTTGTTTTTTTTTTCTAAGCTATCTCAAGCATATTGAAAATAAAAACTTTATCTATGAATCGATTTTTGGATGAATGGGCCGGATCGTCCAGGAAGTTACAGGGCCTTAAAGAAGCCGGCGTAAGTTGGAAACATTTTATATTCAATGACGCTCTGACATGTTGGCAACGCTTATATGGTTGTAGTTGTCGAAATCTGGCAGCGATAACGCAAAAATCAGCTTATCTAATTGTATGTTTTCATTTCATATAAATTTTTGAAAATTTTAACATTATTCTTATCGTATATTCTTCATCAATAGCGCTGTTTGAGTCATTAAATTTAATGAAGAATTGTAATAATGAACCTTTGAGAAATAATATATAGAGATCGTTTGCTTTTGAAACGACCAAAGAGAAATAGGATGTTTTAAACAAGTTATGTCTTATCTTCACTTTTGAGTCAAGTTATGACTCAACTTCTCTTTTCCCACAACTAGCATCATAACATAATATGAAGTCTGGTACGTTACTTATATACATTCTGTTAAACGAAATGAGAGACAATACCTAGGTTTGAAATTCTAGGATCTTTATAGTAAGTAGTATTACTATGGCTATAATAAATATCAGAAAATTAAAAGACATAATAAAAATTTATTATTTGTAAATTTTAATGTTTTTCATTTGTTATTTATTTAATTCATAATGGATCACTTCTTAAAGTTCTTTACTTTTAGGTCAAGATATTATATAAGTGAACTTGAAAAATGTAATGATCATTCGAGACGCCTTAGATACCCTTAATTCAAATAAGAAATTCTGGAAGAACTCACTAAACAGGTACTATAGGCTCTATTAATAACGTTGGTTCTAGGGTAACAGGATTATCCACCACTGATAGCAACACTTGCAAACAAATCACGTCATATCTAGATTATTTCGATTCGTTGAGTTGGGCTCGGCGAATTCAAAATGATAAGATGGCGAAACACTTACCATAGTCTTTTCTATTCATTAATTTTATTCTTAGCACAAACTTCGTTAATTCGGAAAGAGTTAATTTCTAATCAAGCTCCTTAATCAAATTCTGAAGTAATCTAAATAATTCTGAAGTGACTTACCTCATTGTCGATCTTACTCGACCTTACGACACTGAACAGCAGAATCGATACTAAAAAAGCGCCCTTCATTTTATCGATATTCAGAGTCCTTCGTCACTTCACTAGCACCACCGTGCTAACACTGTTATTAATACAAGTACCTAATTTTTAACACCGACGCAGGTTGACAACTGCTGCACTTTACGAAGTATATAGCAAATGTAGATGTGCATCAAGTGATACTGTTTTATACGTCAACGCATCACTGATCACGCAGTGGGGTGCGCTCCTCTAGTGTATGCTCCAGACTTGCGTTGTTTCTTTTTTGCTTTTTTACTTAAGAACGTTAATCTTTTTCAAACAAGCAGTCATAGTTTTATTTATTTTCTTAGATTTAATAAAAATTTTATGCGTTACGTACATGAAATAGAATTTCTTCGTGACTCTTGATTTGTCATAAATAAAATCATATATAAATTGTGTTTTTATAATAAGCAAATTAAGGACTGAAGTAAAAAAAAAGAATTCGCCATGAAAAAAGTGAGTAATCTAGTACAAAGTAAATAGATAATTTCAAAATATGATTTCAAAGTGTAAGAAAAATCTGATATAAATTATACTATGAAAGTGTCATCTGATCAAAGTTAAAAACATTACTTCAAATATGTGTAGATACATTATTATATAGCCACACAAATTATATATTTAACATGTATTTATGATACATATCATTAGTTATTAATTGAGTAAACGTAGTTTTTTATGCGAAAAGTTGCCAAGCGAGTAGGTGGTTCACCTGATGTTAAGTGAATACCACCGCCCATGGACATCTGCTACACCCCAGGGTTTGGAGATGCGTTGAAAACCTTTTGAAAATTGGGTTCCGGCAACCACACTCACCAGACGAAACGCGAAAAGTCGTGGTACTTACCCGGACGAGCCTGCCCGTTCGTGCAACAGCCGAGACTGCTGCGTTGACCTACCACCAAAACGTGGCCCTACCACCAAATGTTACAATTTAATTGAAAGATATTGTGGAATTTATTCTTTTAAAACTTTTAACATTTACTGATTTTCTACAGTTTTCTAGTTTGAAAATAGTTTTCAATATATTCCCATCGTAAATTTCTACAATAATTTAAAAAAAAATGCTTGGATCGTGATGATTCAAATCCGTGTGACATTATCCGTAACACGGGTAGCACATTTGTCAGTTGTTTTAATCTCCTTTAAAATTTACACCGTATCTTCATTGATGGAACAAACAAAAGTCTTAGGGCGCCAGTTCAGGACAATATGGTGGATGACTCATTATCTCGACATTTGATACAGTCAAAATATATGTAAGATGTATGTTTTTACAAAAAAATATACGTAACATTTCGCGTCGGAGCCGTGGTGACTATCTTAAAGTACCAAAGCTTAGACTGGTTAAAACCAGAAAACCGTTTCTTGGTAGCTGTAATAATATGTAATCAAATAAGTAACATCCACAAACAACTAAGTGGAAACAATCTGAAACATGTGGAAACAACCCTCATGAAAAGGCCCCATTATAATGTCGAAGAATACATTGATGATAGGGATGTGTGGAAATGATTCCTGCTTGTTAGTCCAGAGGACTTACAAGTTCTAAGCTGCTAATTTTATACTTAACAAATTTGTATGTATAATTTAAAAGCGAGTTCCAGTTCTTCTTTAGACAGTTCGTGACGTTCAATAAGAGCTTAAGATAAGCCTGTATTGTATGAAAAATAGAGTTTGACTTTGTTAGTTAAATTTTATTGGGCATATTTACCCTTTAAACGGCACATTTTTAAATCCTGGCTTTTTAAAGCACAGGGCCTTCGAAACGCTCAGTGGAACCCACAAAATATCTACCGGGCCCAATTCAATTGTGTCACGGCAAATTTCTGTAGAAATAATAAAGACGAATTTGCATAGATACCCGTAAATTTTGTTCCCTAATGACATAATTGCCCACGTAAAATTTTATTTTCCGCCCATGCCAACGTCATAAAGTAGAATAGCGGGGATCTTTACGACAAAATGTTTGTATCACAATTTCAGTAAAGGTAAACAAAGTTGTTAAGTAATAAGGTTATTATAAAGTTGTGTATAAACGGGATTCGCCTTTTCTCAGTTATTCGTGTATATTAATTTCTTGTGTTTATACGAACAATGTACTTACATGATAAATGTAAATAATTTTTAAAATTTGTCACGTTCGAAACTTTGGGTGTTAAAATCAAAATAAAACGCGATAAAATTCGTAAGATAGTTTCATTTAACCATATATTGAAATTTATATATTTATGTTTTTGTAAAGTGTATTTTTATGAATTGTTTTGTTACATTTTTTTAAATTCGCGTATTTTGTTTTGCAACTGCTTGAAATTTTTTCTACTCCCAGGGTTGATTTCAAGAGAACGTTTATTAGCAATAAGTTTGCCTTTTGTTTAGCCTTAATTTGGAGTGATAACAATATTTTTTTAAATAAATAAATATATGTAATAAAAAAATATTTCTATGTACTCGTAATAGAAAATTTTAGTTTTCAACGAGAAGCTTCTGCTTGCGATCAATGCACCGTACTTTTAGATTGTGGTATCGACAAAGCACTCCATTCGTTCCTCATTCAACCCTCAAAACGAGAGTGAGTTTCTCAAGATCAACCTTCTCTATTGACCTATCCTATTTTGGCATCAAGTTTCAGCTAATCGAATAGTGAAAAAAAATATTGTAATGTTCTAGAAAAGGATGTTTCCTTGAAGTTTGCAAAATATATGTTGTAGCTTCGGTTGTAAGCACTGCTGAGCGAAGATTTATAATCCAGAGTTTTACGAGCTTATTTTAAACTGCTAAAAATAAGAACATGATTATTTTTTCTGCTTTTTTTTGTTTGCGAGAAATCGATCTTCTTAGAAAAAACCGAACTGATTCGGAGAAATAGAGGTCAGCTAAGATTTTACGAAATTCCACAAAACAACATTTGCCGGATTAGCTATTATGATAATAAAATTATTAAGATGAAAATCAACACGCCAGATTTTCATCATTTTTTACATAACATTATTTTTTTATGTTAAAAGTTGCCAAACGAGCAGACGGTTCACCTGATGTTAAGTGAAAACCGCCGCCCATACACATCTGCTACACCCGAGGGTTGCAGATGAGTTCGCCACCTTTTGAAAACGGGGCTCCGGCTACCTCAGTAGTATTTCGCCGGTCCACTTTACGCCGGTCTTCTGTGAGGTCGTGGTACTTACCCGGACGAGCCTGCCCATTCGTGCAACGGTCGAGGCTGTTGCGTGGCCCTACCACCGTCAAAAATAATTGCTTAAAGTATTTTAGTACCTGTTTGAGTATTTTTTATTTAAGCATATTATACTCTACTCCCCATGTACGGAAGAATATTGAAAATTTAACGTAACTTAGATACTGGCAAAAAGTGGGGGCTATCAAGCTAGTTATTTAATTTATAATGGAAACACTTGTGATTTTAAATACGGTACTTATCACCGCCATTTACAAAACAAATAGTCGTAGAGTGTAAAAACACTTGTAACGCATTAAAACGATATGGCTTTCAAATGCTAGCGAAGATACCGAGTTTTGAATTGTTTTCATTTTCATTGCCATTTGAAATCAGCTTTATTTAGACTTACTACGGCATCTATTTACAAGAGGAGTATTTTAAGTGTTCCTATTTGCTATAAAAGTTTTATTGTGAAACAGTATATTTTTCAGTATATTTCAATTAGGCTCCTACCTGCTGCAACCCTAAAAGCTCTATAGACTCGTATATTATTATTAGTCATTATTCATTAAAATGGTATCATAACTATTCTTAAGGGACGCAGACTAACATGGACAACGTTAACAAGTTATGTTTAGTAATTTTTGTTTTAATATTTTACCGCTTATGAATCAATTTGATAATAACTTTACTAATCAGACGATAAGTACTCACCGACATGTACCAACAATTGATACACCAGATTTGAGCAGTATTCTTTCCCCATTCAATTATAATTGATGACCACCAGATTTTTTTAACATTACCCTTACTATAGCATAATCCTGTTTTGTGAGGAAGTTTTACATACACAAATTCCACGTGGACAAACACTCAAATCCGGAATAAATCTTTCTAGACTCCGGGATCTCCTACGAAACGCACCGATGTCCCTCAGTTCTGCGCGTGAGCACGCCTCGGAGAAGAATTAACCTTCCCCGATTCCCTCGCCGTCTTGCAGCACGAGACCACTTCGTGCTGCTGCCAGTCCGAGTCCCCCCATTTAGTCACCTTTAACCTTTTACCAGGGGATACCTTAGTTCTAGTAAATAGAACCTACGATCTCCTTCGCTGATACCAACTGCTTGGCAATTGCGCAACTGAGAGAAATGTGGTATGTAACTTTGCTAACAGTCATTTGGGATATGTCTGGCATAAGCCAAAGGGCGCTATTTAGGAAACTGACACAATAATTAAATGTAAAACTGAAGGAGAGTCCATCGCATCGGAGCATCGCACATGAATAATTAACAGCAGCACATAACAGCGGGGAAAATTGGTCGATGAAAAAAAATACTTTCGAGACCACGAGGCGGTCTCGTTAGCAGACGATGTGGAAAGTATCACTGCACGACACCGATGTCACGCGAAATTGAATGCCAGCGAACGCAATTATTGCTATATTATGTATACGAGAATAAACATGAAGTCTGCGGTGGGCAAAAAATTGTCTTGAACGCGTTAAGACGTTTTGTTGGCGCGGCCATTCTCCGAAAAATTGCAGAAAAATGGGACTCCAGAACGATTTTTCGTAAAACTTAAAAAGGAGTAAAGATAGTTATGGTATTAAAATTAAAGCGTAACATCTCATATACAACATAACATAATAGTTTGAGTTTGATTTAAATAAATCTACTATGAGACTGTTTAAGATTTCACGGCAATTTTAAATTAAAGAACACTCGCAACACGTGTGGTCAATGTCGCATAATATGTATGACGTCATGATGCCACTATGTTCTTTTCTATCTCTATGAGTAGGAATCGCGTAATTAGGAGAAATCAATATATT